TTAAATTTTATTCCTCGTCACAATCAAACAGGAAAAAAAATCCCTCATCCTCAAATTGCTATAAAATTTTCTTAATCTTTGAGTTTATATGCAAAGATATAAATTTGAGTTGAAGTTAGTGTCTTTTTTAGTGAAATAAATAAAATACATATACAACTTAAATCATGGCTCCCCAAGATAAAAATTTTGGCTTCGCCTCTGCTAGTGAGACCGTACAATGGACAAGAAGACTATGGACAAGGGAAGAGCAACCAACCATATCATCCAATAGGCCACCCAGTAGTTGGTAAGCCGAAAAATTAATGTCCTTTCCCTTTCTTTTCTTATTTATTTATTTTTTATTGGAGGGACGGGTAGGAGAAATGTCGGTCGTCGCAGCGTTTGTCGTAAATATGACAAAGTGGATCCATGTGCCATTCAATTTCTTTTCACATACATTACCTATTATGTCTTAACCTATGAAGCATTAGATATTTCCTACGTATCTTGGACATGTCTATCGTCAAAACCATGTGGTGATAAATACTGGGTCTTGCGACCTTCTGAGAATCTGTCGTGTTAGTATCCATGTCAGCAGGTTCGTGTCTGTGCAAACTAAGACGTTTCTATCATTGACTATAACGCAGAACACGTACCCAACCAAAAATTTCTTGAGTTTTCACTAAATATTTGTCTGACACTTCTCTAATGTATCCTCATACTAATACAGTTTCAATCTTTTGGTTATTTGTCGTATACTTCTTGTATGCATTGCATGTCTTGAAATATGATTTTTCTTTCATTTTTATGTTAAATTAGAAAAGGTAATTAATAAAACGTATTTAACAGCAGCTAATATTAGAATTACAAAGAGTATGCCTTGTTTAGGATTTACCATGAAGACCGTGCTTTTTGGGTGTCCATACTTTATTTAATTATTTGTGTTCTAAATTAGAAAGCTTTGATATCTTTCATATTTGTGTAACGTTGTGGTGACAAATTTTGTTCTATTATCCATATTAGTGCTTCACAGATCATAACAATTATAAAATGATATCATCTTTTCTTTTGCTATAAATGAGAAAGTACATGAGGGGTGATATAGAGCAGATAGACAAAGTCAAAAATGGAATCTAAGAAGCAATAGTATTTCAACGTATTACCCCTTGTCATATAAGCTGCAGTACTGAACCTTGCAGGTCAATAAGAAAGCCCACACATCCCTGCAATTAAATACAATAACATTACCAGTGTTTCTCAGAAAGAGGACATACAAGGATAAGAGTTAACAACTGATAAATATACAAGTATAACCAAATAAAACCTGTATGACCAATCCAAGATAGGATTCACCCTCATGAAAGGGGGCCATCCTGGCGAGCTAGGAGAGAACTGCTCTTGGCCAACCTACAAGATCAATGTAATATGTTTAATACTCAACAACCTTATATTCAAAGTACTAAGCACAAGCTTTCTAACAAAGGAAATAATTCAACAAATTATATACCGCATTAGGGTCGCCAATTCGTGTACCAAGAAAAATAGCTTTGATAGGTTTTTTCCTTCATTAGAGTCTCTAACCCAGACTTGAAATCAAGGCTAATAATTTCCAATTGCAAGTCATAACTGCCAAAAGTATCAGCCGTTCATCGTTAAAAGTAATAATCTCGCATTTTGCAAAATTTAAGAAAATTAATATAGCATTCTTACTTAGAGGCTGTGCAAAATTTAAGAAAATTAATATAGCATTCTTACTTAGAGGCTGTTTCATAAGTGAATGAATTGATTTCAGGAAATGCAGAGGGAGTTTCAAAGTAGATAGTCCTTATTCTACACTCTGGAATAGAATCCAACTGATTTCCATTGGATTGCTTCGTTTTCTCTTTATGCAAATAATATCCAGCTCGCAGTAAATGCAGCAAGACCTGCAGAACCAATTGCATCTAAATTAATTAGAATCAAATTTACAAATTTCAATAATGCCAATCTGAACTTCACATAAACAAACAAACAAACATGAAGAAACTATTACAGTGGAATCCTTCCCCCCATTAAAGCTGAAGGCAACTTCCTCAAACCTGTGGATGAACAACATAAATCAAATTGAACCCATTTTCAGGGGAAAAAGAAACCTGGGGGGTTGGGGGGTATCACTACTCTTATATACCCACATCAAATTTACGCTCCAAATATAGATATTTGCTAATTTAAGCCCCCAAGTCGACTGCATTGAGTTAAAACACCCCAAATTTAATGTCCTCAGCTTTTCATCCGTGCGATTGAAAATTTTCAGTTAAACAACCAAAAAGTTTATAAGAATATTCCTGAGGATATTTCTGAACGTAACTTTTGGGGTATTTGAACTTGGGTAAACTTGCAAAAAATGGTTCGTTTGGGGTTGATAAAACTGGCAAAAATCCCCATAAAATCCAAGCTAACAAAGACCCAGATCGAAATTTGACAAGAAAAAGAGAACCCATGTTCACAAAATCGAAAAATTGTTTGAATTAAAGAATTGAGGGAGCATACTCATAGAGAGCAAAGGCCCTTTCGATGACGTAAGTAGCGTTTTTGTACTTGGTTTGCAGCCTTCGATCGCTGCTCCCCTTTACTGCTTTGTCGATCTCCATCGCTTAGCAACAAGCCAAGCAAATTAGAGACCGATTCTAGAGAGAGAAACTAGAGAAGGAGAAGTTAGAGAGAGAGAGAGGGAGGTTGGGTTTTGGCTTTGAAAACAAAGCGGACTAGGATCCAAGTTTCTGCTGTATCGTCAGTATATTGAATTGAAATTTGTAGGAAATTTCCAAAATTTTCTTCAAGATTTTTATACTTTTGGGTTTTGGATCTATTTGTGGGTGTTTGAAACTGCGCTCAAAAGATAACAATAGACCCCACGATGAAGCCAACCCAAAATGATGGACCATCGAGATTTGGGCCGTTTTTTATTCTTCTCCGTTTCGAGGATAAATCTCATAATTCTCCTCTCTCTCCGAGTCTCGTGGGGTGGGAATTGGTTGAACGACATTATTTAGATCTTAGTCCCTCACATCTCCAATAATTCCGTAGTGGTCCCCCCATCTCAATAATTGCTTGCTAGTCCCTCAAATCCCGAGAGCAAAATACCCTTTGTTATTATTTCTCTCTTAAAACTCATCCCGTTAAAAAAAAGGGGGGTTATTTTCACTTTAGTACTCTAAAATTTACACCATTTTAACTTTAATGCCTTGAAGTTTTTTGAATTTTTGATACACTAACATTTTTTTTTATCTTGATACCTTAAAGTATTTTTTGTGCTTTTGTTAGCGACAAAATGTATGCCTTTTAACTTTAAGGTATCAAAGTTAAAAATATGTGAAAACTTAGGTTATGAAAGTCAGAAAGTGCGAAAACTTTGGGGTATCAAAGTGTCAAAAAAACTTTGGTGTATCAAAATTTAAAAAGGTGTAAACTTTATAATGCAAAATTGTAAATAACCTTTAAAAAATATTAGCTGAGGGTATTTTGTGGCTGAGGAGGGACCAAATTGCAACAACCCAAGGACTCACGAGACTAATGACCAAATTCATAGATTTGAGGGACTAATATGGAATTATGAAAGATTTAAGGGACTAATATCTAAATAACCCTTCATTGTTTCATGATTTATGAGCCTGTTCGCTTAATAATTATAACATTAGAACCTTAAATCATGTTTATGACGTTCTTCAATGACCACTTAATCCATTGAGGCACATCCTGTTGTTTTTATTTTGAAATTATATTTCTATTTGCTTCGATGTTTTTATTGGTATGGCATTAGAAAATTACCATGTTTGGCACGCAGAAGGCATCACAATTTAATTATGACATACTTACTTGCTATCTTTCCCACCATCATATTATCAGACAATTTTTGCTGATATATGCCTATGATTGATCAGTAATAGTACGTATTAATCATGATGAGTCAAAACAGAGAGTAACAAATTATGCAATGAAAAACTAGCTGAAACGAAAACAGCTACACCTAAAGTTTGTTTGCGAAGATAACAACTAGGTACTGTACATTCAAATATTTAAAAAAAACAATGTGCATGCAACAGTCCAATGTGTATTGCGAATCATCTACTTAATTTTGTATAAAATATCGAGCAAAATTTAAACCTTCATCAAGCCTCGACATACACGCTTTTTACAAATGCATTGAACCCCCTTGCACCTTTGGCTCTTATTTAAGACCTACACAATAAATTCCGGAAAAATTCCTCAGGGACCCAAAATATGGGACCAATAGGGAGGACAAGTGAGGTGTCCACCTCTTATTGGATAATTAGTTGGCCATCATTAATGATGACCAAGAATAAGGAAGCATTATGCAGCAGAGATTTTTTTTGCAATCGTAAGATGATGGACAGTGAAAATTTTTAACGGCCTCTGAGATTTTTTTCCAGTAATCAGTATAAAACTGATGCAGGACACAATTGGATTTGGGTCTTCTACTCAAGGACTGACGGCCTGCAACACAAAGCAATCAGAGTCCTGATATCTTCAGAGTGATAATGAATCCCTCTTTCCGAAAAATGAACCTCGAAATTACTGAAGATCCAAAGAAAACCAGAAACTTTTCAGTCAACTTCTGATTGATTCATCCAGCAACTAAGCCAATAATTGGGTTCCTAGCGCTAGCAATCATCCAACAGATGCATCCATATTGTGAAGGCAACAAGTAATGTCTCAACGCGAGCAAAATGAACAGCAGTGTCTGATGTATAAAGTTTCCTTCTTTCTTTCGTAAACTTCATGATATCAGCAAAAATTACTTGCTCTAGACATTTAATTATTTGTGTCAGGAAAAGAGAAAAACATTTACCAGCAGTCCATGCATGAACATAATCCATTCTTCATATGATGGAATATGATCTTGTCCCTCACGACAATTTCCCTACTGAAGACCTCGGAAAAGATCTTAAACAATGAATGACAGTCTATGCACATTCGAAGATCCATTATTATCCTTATAGTCTCGCTACGACCCAAGTTCATCAATCCATATGCAAGTGCTAGCCTTTCACTGTGACCAGAAACAACATTGCCCTTTTCCTCATTTTCGATATCGAGCAATACTTCTTTTGTTGAGGGGTCATAGCTAGCTAATCTCAGTCTTCTTGTCATTTCGTCAAGCATCTTATAAATTTCTTTAGACTGAGGATGTGAAGTACCATTTGCTAAAAACTGATGCAGAGAACCATTGAAATCAACATAGCTCGAGCCCTGTTGCTTCCAAACAGGCTTGTATTTTATCATTTTCCGCACTTTCTTTGCATTTTCCAGAACTTTTACATCCGAAAACATTTCAATTAGCCGAGAATATCTCCCCTCAAAGCTGTTGCCATCAGAAACAAAATGAAGGAGTTTTCTTTGTGCAATCTCTCCTATTCTAGGATTCCTATGTATTCTGCAATTGCGTAGTAAAGCTGACCATATCGCTGAATTAGGGCTGATAGGCATGTTCTGAATAAAATCATATGCTTCATTTATATACCCTCTTCGCCCTAGGAGATCAACCATGCAACAGTAATGCTCAATCTGAGGCTGTATGCTATATTTGTTTACCATCATATCGAAAATCTCTTTTCCCTTCTCAATCAAACCACTGTGACTACAAGCACAAAGAACTCCCACAAATGTAACCTTGTCAGGACTCAGGCCAAGAGCTTCCATTTCTTCGAAGACAGCTATTGCTCTCTCACCGAGCCCATGTTGTGCGAGACCAGATATCACGGAATTGAACAGGTGTGATGTTTTTGTTTTCTTATCAACTCGATTAAATATTTCCAGAGCAGTCATTATGTGACCACACTTAGCATACATATCAACAACTGCAGTGCAAAGCCTGGAGTTATTACACCCGATAGAATCACTTTCTATATAAAGATGAATTCTTTTGCCGAAATCAAGATAACCCAAATGTGCACATGCCGAAAGAACAGCAACCAAAGTAACCTCATCAGGCTTTACTCCTTGCTTCCCCATTTCTTCATATAGCTCCACTGCCTCCTTATATCTTCCATTTTGAGAATACCCGCTGATCATCGAAGTCCAAGAGATCAAATCCTTTTTGGGCATCTCATCAAAGACCATACGAGCATTCTCAATCTTCCCGCACTTAGCATAACCCGAGACCATACAACTCCACGATGCAACACTTTTGCTAGAACCCATACTACCGAAAACTCGGTCAGCCATCTTCATAGCCCCAAGTTTCGAATACATATTCAAAAGTGCCAACTTTACACCATTTCCCAAATCATCAGACCCGAAGCTCTTCAAAGCTAACATATGCACCACCTTCCCCCTAGTCAAATCACCCAATCCCGAACAAATCGACATCAGACACCCAAAAGTGCGATCATCGGGTCTAACACCAACACGTAACATATACCCGAAAACCCGCAACGCATCGTCCCATTGACCGCACTTATTATACCCACTCATCATGACATTAAACGAAACAACATCCCACCGAGTAATTTCATCGAACAAGTAACGGGCAACATCTAAATCCCCAAATATACAGTATAACCCGATGAGGGAGTGCCTAACATGAGAATCCAAATCAAACCCAAGCTTCATAACATGGGAATGAACCTGCAGACCCGTTTCGGGGCCCGGCAGCTTCGAGCAAGAGACAAGTAAAAACGGGAAGGTGAAATTATTTGGCCTTGTCGGGCCTTCAGAGAGCATGGATTTATAGAGGGAAACGGAGTTTGAAGGAGAGCTAGAGCGAGCGAAGGCTCGAATGAGGGTGTTGTAGTTGAAAGTGCTGGGGTCGTGAAGAAGAGATGATGGGTTTTGGATTGGGATTGAGAAGTAAGGGAGGAGTTTTGAGAGGAAGAGAGAGTCATGGTGGAGGCCGGTGATGAAGAGCTGGGATTGGATTTGGCGGGCTTTTTTGATGGAGGTGCAGGAGTCTAGAAGGAAGAGGAGAGATTGGTATTGGGGAGGGAGAGATCTTTTGGCTCTGTGGATTTGAGGTTTGGCCATAGCGGATTTGGCTTGGCTTTTTGAATTTTTTTTTGGCGGGGATCGTAATTTATAGTTTGTGGTCATGAATCATGATAATAGATTATAAGGTTGTAGTTCCTTTCTCGTTATGTATCTATGAGCTTGGAGTAGGTTTAGTTTTTTTTTTTTTTTTTTTCAAAACAATTGGGGTAGGTTCAAATAGATTTAAAAATGTAAATTTAACAAAATATAAATAGTTAAAACGTTCTAAAACTAGCTTCAGAGCATCACGTAGAAACATATTAGAAGAATGTTCTCGCGCGTTTCCACATCAAAAAGGCATTGAAGCGCAGATTTTAGAAACTAAGGCCGAAACAGCCTATAAATTTAGACGAAAGCCGTGAATTGAAGCAAGCAAATACTTTGAAATAGGAGCAAATGAAATTTTTAGTCTCACAAGCAGCTGACTACTCGATTGCAGTTCATTATAGAGCTGACTACTCGATTGCAGTTCATTATAGAAACAACAACCCAAACATGATACTTTGTGAGGCCCCAGAAAACAGACAAAACACTTCATATACGACCGTACGTGTCTTGAACAAAAACAATCTCCAAAGGACATGACATTAAGGGGGAAAAAACTAGTTCAAGCTTTATCAAGGTGTCTTAAACCTCCCATTCAATCACGATAACAGAAATGGATGCGGTAAGTTACTCAACCATCGGCATGTAAGCTAAACGCTAGTAGTACTTGCTCTCAAAATCAACCATCCGCATTCCGCCAACCATCGGCATGTAAGCTAAACGCTAGTAGTACTTGCTCTCAAAATCAACCATCCGCATTCCGCCATCGCAACATCCTACAGTCACTAATTTCAGTAGTACTTGCTCTCAAAATCAACCATCCGCATTCCGCCATCGCAACATCCTACAGTCACTAATTTCTCATATTATCAACCTGAAATGTAGCTAAACTACTCAATTACAATCCAGTACAGAAACAGCCAGACAATAAAGATAAGTTCCAACACTTGCAGGACAGAATAACACAGCTCAAAATTCTACAAATATTAATCCAAATGTCGAAATAAGGCCAATAGCAAACAGAATAAACAGCAATTCAAATATAACAGTTGCATATCCCAAACAAAATTAAAGTCTCCAAACCAAAGCATAAACTAGTTCGACATTTATCCAGATCTCACATAATAACTCCCCTCATCATCATCCTCAGTACCTCCGGCCACGGTCCATCATCCTCCCCGATGGACACTCATAAGCCATATGCCCCCTCCCCCCACAATTATGACATATCATCATGGACCCCATCCAATCCCTACTCACGGGCCCTGCATCTCTAAACCCACCACCCCCACCGCGATAATATCCACCAACCCGACCTCCTCTCTCACCCAAAACGTCGGCCTTCGGGCACTGCCTAGCTACATGACCAGAAATATTACAAAGATTGCAAACAGGATCGTTTGGGCAATCTCGAGCCAAGTGGCCGCTCTTTCTGCAGTTGTTGCAGGCTTTGTCATTCGTGCAGTCAATAGCAAGGTGACCTGGCTTGTAGCACTTGGTGTCCCGCCTTTCCACAGGTGTGGCAGATGCCCTCGTTAGGGCATGCACTGGCCACATGGCCTGGCTCTTTGCAGTTCCAGCAGAGGGCCTTGGTGCTGCACTCCACTGCAATGTGCCTGTTCCAGGAAAGAAAGAGAAGGGTTAATTGAGGATTGACCCCCAGTAATATTGTCAAATTGCAACCCTCAGTAGTTCTATTGTAGAAGTGATCTATGAAATGCCCGTGTAAAGAAATCAGTAACAAATTTTAATCATCAGGTTCTTGCAAAAAGTAATAACATGAGAAAAGCCACCCCTGGTACTAAAATTTAATATGGATTAGTTCCTCTCATGCCCTCAACTTGTGAGAACTTCTCTAGGAAAGTTTCCATTTGTATAAGCACAAAAGTCTCCTCACTGAAGCCCTAAAGGTCAATTTTAATGGAAAGAGAAGATTCCATACCTAGCCCATTAAAACCTCCAGTATATAGCTGCCAGCAACTTGGCAGTCTCAAAGGAGACATGTTGCAATAATGACATGGGTACCTTTAGATCCTACAGAGAAGGCAACGAGATAATATAGGCTTAAGAAGTTTCCTTTAAGCCACTTACCCCCTAAACCAGTCTACTAGCACATACAACCCCCGAACCCCATTTGAGGTTACTCCTTCACCCTAAAATTAGAGGGCCATTTTAACAATTTTTAGTTAAACTAAGGGCAAAGATAATCTATGGTAACGTAATTCCCACGTGATGACATCTCAACCAAACAGGAAAAATAATATCGCCTGGAGTTCAAGAGGTGTAAGTGACCATAAAACAGTTTAGGCAGTATAAGTGTTATTCACTTATAATACGAGAGGTGCATCTGATATTACCCTAAAAAAATTTAATCGCATGGAGTTCAATAGATGTAACTAAGTGACCATAAAATAGTTTAGGCAGTATAAGTGTTATTCACTTAGGCCCCATTTGGCAACAGGTTAGCGGGGGGATTAAGAGGGTTTAATCCCTCATTAACCCGCCAAACAACAAAAGTTACCAACAGCTTTGTTAAACCGCACGTGAGGGTTACATCCCCACTTAACTTGTCATTCGGCGGGTTTACAACTCCACTTGAGAAGGCGGAGTAACTTTTTACTCCGCATCCTCACGCAGAGTACAATGTGAAATTTACAAATGAGCCCAAAAGAAAATCATTTATCCGAAGCAAAATATATTTGGCTAGCCATAACCACGAGTCTGTTGGCTGTGCTCTGTCCACGGAGACATCATCAACGAAATCCCACTTCAAAGACTTGTGCCCAATCTCATTCCAATGGACTCTTTGACTTAACGAAAATCAATCTAGTAATTGGGAAGCAACTAGTAGAAAATTAATGGAAACGGTTGAAATAGAACTCATACAAGACATCTATCTCATGTATCGTCAACTCTAATTGAGGTCCAATTTAATAATGCAAATAGCTTTATATTATAGAAAGAAGAAATAAACTTATATGGTTGTGGCTCTTAACGAAAAATAGTATTTTTTGGGCAATAAGATATATTTTCAGCCCTCTTGCTGTGCATATCCTTGCAAGAAAAAATTGAGCAATGGATGTTGTTGTTTCAATAAGGTTAAAGTTTAAATTTATTTCAAAATTGGGGAATTAACTTTCTTAAGCCCTTTTGAACTCTTTTCTATTAACCAAACACAAAAAACTTAAACCTTTCCTCATGACCATTCAATCCAAACAGAATTAAAGAATTTTTAACCCCTTGTGATGGGTTAACTAAGTTAAACCTTCTCCATAGCCCTTCTTGGTTAACCCTTTGCCAAACAGCACCTTATAATACAAGGGGTGCATCTGATATTCAATGTTTTAAATATCGGTTATCGAGGATTTATCGGACGGCCAAAATCATTATCGGATAGCGGAAATCGGGGATTTATCGGGGATAAGTAGTATTTATCGGAGCAATATACTGGATGGTGTATATATATAATATAACAACTAAAAAATGTAATCTAACCATGCTTAATGAAATATAAACACACCAAAACAGAAAAGCAAAGTATGTACAATTTATTCACTAATTTCTTATATAAGTCTCTGTTACAGGAAAAACAGAAAAACAAAATATGATAAAAGAATAGTTATATAACTGATATTACTCAAAAGAGAAAGTGTGTGCGTGAAGGAATTACAAGAGAAGGAAAGCTCACAGCATGTGTATATAGCCATGTTTCCGGACAAAAAAAAAACATGGTTGACAGAGGGTAGGCGAGCGATGAAGTTCAAGGTTGAAGTTCACGAAGGCGAGCGACGAAGAGGCGTAGAGAACATAAGATGGAGATAACGGAGGAAGCGCCCTACGAGAAAAGGAACAGCCGCTAGAGACGAAGTTAGGGTTTGAAGGTCGGATTCACAAAGTTTCGGGTTTTAAGTTTCATATTATTAACAAAACGGGTCGGGTCGGGTTTTAAAAACTCAACAACTCAACTCAAAATACCTGGCCGATAATCCTGATAATCCCGATAATTTAGCCTTATCGGCCGATAAGTGCCGATAACGCCGATAACTCGCCGATAATCTCCCCAAAACTATAACCGATTACAAAACCAACTTATCCTAGCAGAGAGCTCAAAAATCCGATAACTCAGCCGATAATATCGATTATCGGCCGATATTTAAAACAATGCTGATATTAACCCTAAAAAATTTTAATCACCAGATTCAAACAAATTTTAATCACCAGAATTAAACCAACCCCATACACTTCAAGTTGTGTGTTATATTCTTTCAATGTATATGTTCACTTGACTTGTAAACAGTCCGCTAAAAAAATTCTGCATCTCTATAAGCCCAAATTCTCCTTACCGAAGCAAAGGAGGTCCTTTAGTGGACAAAGAAGCTTCCAAAACAACCTATTAAAGCTTCTACTATATAACTTTAGAAATTAGGGAGTCTAAAAGGAGACAATCAATTAATATTATGGGTGCTTTTAGATCCTACAAAGCACTGTGAAGACCTCTTGATGCAGTGGATTTAAGAACATTTTTTTAGTCAAAGGGACGAATAACTACGAAGAATTAATGCTTCTAGGACTAAATAGCTTAAGCACTTTGACTGCTTAAGTAAATCCCTTGACTAACACTAATTTTGATACATATCTGGTGCTACCAGTTACGATTATAAGACTAATACCTAGGACTCGCTCACCAATTACTACCACTAGTACCAGCTCATGTATAACATTCTAGGAGTACTAAATTAATAAGAAACGTCTTGAATATTATAAGAGCATTTCATGACCTGCTTTTCAGCTTTCGTCATTTGAATGAGAAAGTAAACAAATAAAAAAGAGCTCCTATATTATATATGGTTTTGGCCAAGGCTAAAAACATTCTCTCAATAAGCCAAGTTAAAATACTTCAACCTATAGGTCCAGGTTATTTTATCATATTTTTGAAAAACAAAATCAGTTTGCAACATAAACCTGGGGCTAAACTCTAACCTCCCAGTCTCATCTTAGCCAGTTGCAAAACGTGGTTTGTAAGAAGTCAATGGGATGGCTTCAAAATCTAAGATTTGTTGAATAGTATGTTCTTAAGATCCAATAGACTCAGCCTGTTTCTGCTACATCCGCTCAAACTACAACTCAGATCTAATAGTTTCAAGAATCAAAAGATTCTGGCCATGGAGGAGAATGAAGTAATGGCCACTCGAGGACTCATCCTGAATAAGCATTAATCAGCCATCCAGTGGCAATTTGTTAAAAGAAAAGATTGATAAACTCACAAAAAATTATAAATTTAGCCAGGAATGTAAACATTAAACACAAATTAAATAATAGAGAAATCTAAATTGACAGAATCTTTACCCTGGAAGTCCACAATTGTTGCAGACAGCCACATTGGGACATTCCCTAGCATAATGTCCAGGTCTCTTGCAGTTCTTGCACAAATCAGGCCGTCTGCAAACCAGAAGACAATTCGCATTACGCGATTAGCATTCCATGAACCATAGTTGTGAAAGGAATCCCTTATACAGTAATACCCAAAGGGCAGGTTCACATGTACAATGTTTCCTTTGGGCAAAACACAAGATTAAATTACTAGAGAACCCATTTATATTCCAGGTAGAGATAACAAAAGATTAACTTATCAAGGGTATGTCGCATAAAAGTTCTTACTTTTAAAATAAGAAAAAACAATGGCAATTATTTCAAGCAGAAGCATTTACACCTTGACGTACGACGGTCATCCCGCCTATATGGCGCATCCCGGTAGGAATCACGTTCTCGACGAATCTTGCGATCCCTTGATGGGCTTC